TACACATAGTGTAGCACTTAGTATAACATAATTAAAGCACAAAATAATTACTACAATTTTATATCACACGCACATACTCTCTCTCACACACATGTGGAAATAGGAGCTACTTAGACAGAGTGGCATTATTGTAAGTAGCCAAGTAGATTAGTTAATTAACTCGGTACTTTGGCTTAGTCTATAAATAGAGGTAGTTAGAGTGCACAGTGCATTCGGAACATTATTCTTCTTCTTAGCCAATAACATAATTCATTTCCATTTTCTCTGTTCTTTTCCTTCCTTCTCAATTATCTAGGGTTGATTGCTAAATCACCCATAGATTTACATGATATCAGAGCGATTGTGCCATGATTGTGAGCCAAATCTACAGATCCAGTAGCTAAATTGCTCAACTGATTTACTCGATTTCATTTTGAAAACCTCTGTTTCTTCGGCAATGGCGAATACAGATTTTGATCACAACCATGCAGTGTATCTACACCCTTCAGACACAACCGGAGCTCCGATTGTGTTGATGCAGGTGACCGGATCTGATAATTACTCGATTTGGAGTCGTGCGATGAGGATCCAACTTTTAGGTAAAAACAAGCTAGGGTTAATTGATGGTACACTGAAGAAATAAGATTTCGAAGAGGATTTAGGTCACCAATGGGATAGAAGTAATGCAATTATTTTGGGATGGATTATGAGTTCTGTTTCGAAGGAGTCAGTGACAGGAGTGGTGTATGCTAAGAATGCATGTCGAGATTGGGAAGATTTGAAAGAGCGTTTTGATAAAGTGAACGCATCTATAATCTATCAATTGCATAAGGAGATTGTGACATTGCACCAAGGCTCTAATAGTGTATCAACATACTTTACTAAGCTCAAGGAGCTTTGGGATGAGTATGAAAGTATAATTCCAGCCTGTCGTGACAAAGATTTTGTTGAACACTTACATAGGCAGAAGTTGATGCAGTTTTTGATGGGGCCTAATGAGAATTATGAGCAAGCACGAAGTCTGATTCTTATGACAAATCCCACTCCCAATGTTAGTAAAGCATATGCAATGATTAGAGAGAGAGAGAGAGAGAGAGAGAGAGAGAGAGAGAGAGAGAGAGAGAGAGAGTCAAAGAGCTGTCTCTAATGTATTTGTGATGAATAAAGGATCAAAGGCCACAACTTTCATGAATGCAAAAGGAGAAAACTTTCAAGGGCATAACCATAGACCAAAGAAGAATTGGAATCTTCAATGTGATTTATGCAAAATGAAAGGACATACCAAAAAGAGATATGTTACAAAATAATAGGGTATCCTGCTGATTTCAAGTACAAGAAAAAGGGATCAGGAGCCAATGCTAATACTACTTATAATGTGAATGTTGAAAATTATAATCCTAATGTTGTAGGATTTAATGCAGGAAGGACTGAGACAACAGACAAGGGACACATGAATGAGATCCCTACGCTACCACAATTCAAAACTGATCAGTACAATCAAATTATGAGGATGCTGAACAAAGATGTTCCACAAAGGCCAACATGGTTGGTATGATACAATCATTTATGGTTAATGTAACAAGAAAATAATGGATCATAGACACTGGGCCAACTAACCACATGATATCAGACTTAAACATGTTACAAAATATTAAAAGACTTGACTCCTGGAGCTGTAGGAAGGTGTATATACCTAATGGTCAAGTGACTTTGGTATCACATATAGGAGACTGCATAATTTCTAAAGGATAAGTAGTGAAAAATGTGTTGTTTGTGCCTGATTTTCAGTACAATCTCATGTTAGTCTCTAAGTTAACTAGAGACATTCATTGCTCAGTCACTTTTTTTTCTGATTTTTGCTTGTTCCAGGACCTCTCGATTGGGAGGATCAAGGGAATTGGTAAAGAAAAAGATGGATTATACCCCTTCCTACCTGAAGATGAACAAGAAGAAATGAGTAGAGGATTAAATGCACAGGAGAAAGGATTTGATGTCTCTCTATGTCATAAAAGGTTAGCACATGCTTCTGGAGGATCCATGAAGGAGGTGCTTGGACTGCCTATTGAGAATTGTAGAAATGTAATAGATAAGTGTGATGTTTGTCCCTTAGCTAAGCATACGAGACTGCCTTTTCATTCTAGCAATAGTAGAAGTACTGAAACTTTTTAATTGTTACACCTGGATGTTTGGGGACCTTATAACACTTCTACTATTAATGAAATAAGTACTTTTTAACTATAGTTGATGACTATTCTTGTGTGACCTGGGTTTTCTTGTTGAAATTTAAAAGTGATGTGATCATTGTATTAAGAGATTTCTTTTAAATGGTACATACTCAATTTAGTACTATGGTAAAGACAATGAGGTCAGATAATGGTGGTGAGTTTGTGAATTATAACTTTACTACTTTGTTAAGATAATTGAGCATAGTACATCAAAGAACATGTGTCTATAGTCCTCAACAGAATAAAGTAGCTGAGATGAAGCATAGACACATTCTTGAGGTGGCAAGGGCCATAAGGTTTCAGGGACATATCCCCTGTGAGATTTTGGGGACATTATGTTTTGGCAGCTATGTATATCATCAGTAGACTACCTTTAATTATGCTACAAGGTAGGTCACCTTATGAGCTATTCCATGGGAAGAGACCAACCCTTCTTCATCTAAGAACTTTGGGGTGTTTGTGTTATGCTAATGTCTTGCCTAGACAGGATAAATTCAGTGCTAATGGGGTATTCTAATATTACTAAAGGATACCTCTTGTACAACTTGGAGAAGAAGGAGTTCTTTGTAAACATGGATGTCACTTTCAAGGAGGGAGTGTTTCCTTTCAAGGATATTGAAGGACCTGTTTCACCAACCTCCTGCCAAGAGGGTGTTTATCCTAACCATCCTTCTCATTTTGCAGATGTTGATTCTACCATTCCTACTTCTATAGTAGATGCATTGCAACCCCTAGTTTTTGTAGAGGCTGATCCACATGCAATATATATACAGCCTCATGCCATGCCTATTGATGCAAATCAACTCTTGGATACACCAATAGTTGCTTCCTTACCTGTCGACCATTAGGAGCAACATGATGCATCACCTAGTTTCTTCAATGCTGATGCAGAACCTGCTGCTCCTCAAGATAGCATTGCCCCCTCACACACATACAAATGAGGATATTATTTTTGAAGAACCTGAACTCTACTCATCATATGCTTCCACACCTTTGAGGAGATATGGAAGAATGACTAAACAACCATTGTGGTTGACAGATTATGTAGTACCTCTGCCAACCAATAAGCTTGATTCCATGGCTAATTACCTTTCTTATGATCAATTATCTTCCTCTCACAGAACTTATTTAGGGGTCTTCTCAGCAGTATCTGAACCTATATCTTTTTATGAAGCCTGCAAGGATGCTAGGTGGATAGAAGCAATGCAGGCAGAAATAGCAGCACTGCAAGCCAACAAAACTTGGGAGTTGGTGTGTTTGCCTCCAGGGAAGAATCCCATTAGGTGTAGATGGGTGTACAAGGTCAAGCTTAGAGCGGATGGAAAAATAGAAAGGTTTAAGTATATACTAGTAGCCAAAGGCTATAGTCAAAAAGAAGGCATTAACTATAATGAAACATTCTCTCCTGTAGTTAAGATTGTTACCGTTAGGACATTCCTTTCCTTGGCAGCTATGCAGCATTGGCATATCCAACAGATGGATGTTTACAATACTTTTTTGTAGGAAGACCTAGATGATGAGGTCTATATGAAGTTTCTATAGGGATTTTCAACCCAGGGGGAGACGATTGGCATATCTAAGCTAGTTTGCACACTTGTTAAATCCCTGTATGGGTTAAAGCAGGCTAGCAGACAATAGAATTTAAAATTGACTGAAACCTTATTACAGTCATGATTCAAGCAAAGTGGTCTTGATCATTCATTGTTCATTAAACAGAATCAAAGTGATGTAGTAGTGATTCTTGTCTATGTCGATGATATGCTAATTGCTGGAAATAATCTGCAGATGATACAAGCAACAAAAGATTCTCTACACAAGGCTTTCAAGATTAAAGATTTAGGAGAGCTAAAGTTCTTTCTTGGAATGGAATTTAGCAGGTCGAGCAAAGGTATTCTGGTGAATCAGAGAAAATATGACTTGGAGATTATATCTGAGTTGGGGCTAGGAGATGCCAAACCAGCTTGGACACCTCTTGAGATGAATGTGAAGTTGACTGTACCAGAGTATGACAAGCTGACAGGTAATGAAGTTGATAATATGCTTGAAGATAAGGGGCAGTATCAAAGATTGATAGGGAAGCTACTGTATTTGACTCTAACAAGACCTGACATAGTATATACAGTTCAAATGCTTAGCCAATTCCTTCAACAACCTAAAATATCTCATTGGGATGCAGTCATGAGGGTTGCAAGATACATAAAGAGGGAACCAGGACTGGGAGTGTTGTTCAACAGTGAGAAGTCAGACAAAGTCTCTATGTTCTGTGATGCAGATTGGGCATTATGTCCCAACACAAGAAGGCCAGTCTCTGGGTTCTTGATCAAATATGATAAGTCATTGATCTCATGAAAATCCAAAAAGCAAAGCACAGTATCAAAAAGTTCAGCAGAAGCTGAATATAGGAGCATGGCCAGTGCTGTATTTGAAAATGTTTGGTTTATTGGGTTATTGAAAGAGTTGGGAGCAGCTGTAGCATTACCAGTTGATCTGTATCGTGATAATAAAGCAACCTTACAAATAGCTTCCAATCCATTATATCATGAAATGATTAAACATATTGAAATAGATTGCCATTTTATTAGGGAGAAAATACAAATGGGATTGGTTAGAACACAACATACTGCCTCAAGAGACCAACTAGCAGACATATTGACAAAAGGTCTTAACAGAACACATCATGAGTTGTTGACCGGCAAGCTGGGAGTACTTAATGTGTTTGTACCGGCCAGCTTGACGGGACTGTGGAAATAGGAGCTACTTAGACAAAGTGGCATTATTGTAAATAGCCAAATAGATTAGTTAATTAAGTAGGTACTTTGGCTTAGTCTATAAATAGAGGTAGTTAGAGTGCAAAGTGCATTCTAAACATTATTCTTCTTCTTAGCCAATAACAGAATTCATTTCCTTTTCTCTGTTCTTCTCCTTCCTTCTCAATTATCTAGGGTTGATTGCTAAATCACCCATAGATTCACATCACACACACAAAAACATACACATGAATGAAAAGATTCATTCAATCGCAATTAGTAGAATTCAGCAAAAAAGTTACATATAAAAAAAAGGGGGAGTTATATGATAATAATCTTCATGGAAGCATATCATCATGGTGAAGGTCTAAATCTGACTCCAGGTAAGTGTCTAGAAACCAACTCTCGTGCTAATGTATGGAGCTCAAAGTTCTCCAGTTCTTTTTCATCGAACGAATCACTTAAACCTGCAGTTATGTCAAATTGAGGATATTCCATATTATTACTTGAAGATGATATGCTTGAAGTAGTGCAGAAGATATCTGAAGATGATTGCAGCCCTGTTGGTGTAATTGGACTTTGTCGCATAGGTAGGTGTGGTAGGGTAGAAAGGCGGGCTTGAACATATGCTAACTCAGCTTGCAAAGTTACAACCTGCGTATATATATGAAATCGAACCATATGAGTATTAAGCATCCGCTGAAATATAAAATAAAATAAAATATATATGAGTTTGTTTTCTACTTCACACATTGTCATCTACAAGGCCGCTAGTGTTAACTAATACAAGACAATATTTTCATACTTTAAAATTCTTACCCTGTTAACAATTTACCTGTTAAAATACTAATAGCGTTAAGTCCTTTTCACTAATACACATCGACAGGTGTAATTGTTTTGTTTTACTATTAGTATATTTAACCCGTTGTAACAAATAATTTGCATGATTTTTCAGGTTATTAATCTTGTACTTTTTAATAGACTATATACTTTTATACACTCGTAAATACATTTAAACAAAAATTACACATTATCAAATCACCTAAAAAATAAATATAATTAACTATAAAAAACTTATTACCTAGATTATAATATATTAAAATAAACAAATAATGTGAAAGTTTTTTACACTGACAATGACATGAAGCATTAAGTTTTTCTTTTTAAATTTTTTACTTCTTTGTTTTCTTAGGTTTTAGTGCTGACTGAAGTCCCAAATCTACAACAAACAAATTAAGAAAAATCCTATGGTTGATAAACACTATAATTTTCGCGAAAATCGATCGTACTATATATATCTGTCAGGTTTCCACCCACCATGGACGGCAAAACCCACATTAATGTATTATGTTCTCTTACGTAATTTTTTGTAACAAAGAGTTAAAGATAACTTCGTGGCGTATAGAAAGTTAATGTCAGAAAGCTTAATTCTGTTCTTGGAAGTGTGTAACATTTGTTATCTCCAATAATGGATAGAAATACAAGTAACAAATTGCTTTCCTACCTAATTAAAGAGCTTTGTGCTTATCTGCCCAATAATAGACATTTCGTAGTATATTTTATTCCTGAGCATTGGAATCTTCCCACGAATTTTAAATGCTTAACTAATTTGTTCCACAAAATTTTATTTTAGCATCAAATATAGTTCATAAATGCTAAACTATTAGTCACTACGTTTCATGTTACGTGAAGATGCTTAACTGGACAGCATGATATTTACATAACTATGAAATCATGTCAGTAAAATTTAAAGTTAATTTTTTTTTAAAATATAAAAAAGGTGAAATTGTAAGATGGTACATTAAATGAAATGCATGGAATAATATTCTTTTGCATCTGAATTTGCCAAATTAACACTTTATAACGCATAGTATTTAGCACATTTGTTGAGTTCCACCATAAACAGGTAAGAAAACAAAGCAATCAAGAAAGTCAAATTATTGAAAAATGGGAATATATCTCGAGCTGCTAAAGTTGGTTAGGGTTACTTATTACTCCCGCCAAGCAAGACAAAGTATTTCAAATTCCACATCCATCAACTATTCTATACAAAGTTCTCTCTTTCTTGTAGAGGAACAGCACAAGTTAGATTCAATTTTGAGGGATTTAAATTGCATATACTCTATAGCTTTTTTATACCACACGGATTATTCTAAGTTATTAAATCGATTTTGCTATGAAAAGTTACTTGTTAGTAGATCGATTAAATTTAACAGTGTAAAAAATTTATACACTGTCAGTATACTCAATTTAAAAAGGATAAGTTATTTGCACCGATAATATAATGAATTTTTTACACCATCAATGTAATTTAATATATTATAACAAGTTACATACAATTAGATCTAGATAACAAATTAATGCTATTAAATAGAGTTAGTTAACCTATAATTATCTTTCAAATGACCTGATTGTGTAAAGTCAATTTAAAAAGAATAAGTTATTTGCACCGATAATATAATGAATTTTTTACACCATCAATATAATTTACTCCATCCGTTCACTTTTACTTGGCACGTTTTGACTTTTCATGTCCATTAAGAAATAATAAATGAAGTGCATAATTTACCATGATACCCATATTAATTGATGCATATTTTATTGGATTTGAGAAAATAATTTAAAATGAGTAATAAATACTGCGGGTATAATAGGAAAAAAAAATAGTGTTCTCTTGATATGCGTAAATGACAAGTACAAATGAAAATTTATTTATAATATACATGCCAAGTAAAAGTGAACGGAGAAAGTAATATATTATAACAAGTTACATACAATTAGATCTAGATAACAAATTAATGCTATTAAATAGAGTTAGTTAACCTATAATTACCTTTCAAATGACCTTCATTGGGTAAAGATATTTATACTATCAGTGCAAAACACTTTTCAAAATTCAGATAACGTGATAATTTCATGAGCCTTGGAATGTGGTTGGGAAGGAGAAACGCATACTAATGAACCTATGTACAATATACGTAATATGTTACTGTAGTAATAGATGAACTACTACTCATTGTATTACTCCTATTTGTTAGCAACTTGTCAATGAGCAGTAACAAGAAAGACTTCTCAAAGTACCGTGAGAAAAGAGTCGAACCATTTGGAACATATAGACAGTTGAGGGTTCAATCATATAATTTTCTACTATGATCCTTTTGACAATGTATTAGATTTTGAGTCATTGACTATCCTACAGTTTTAAGAAAAATGCTAGCCACAACAAAGGACAGAAGCAAATTTACATAACCCCACCTTGATAAATCTTGGAATAATTTCAGAAATTTTAGCTTATACTTTTGGATACTCTTTGATCGTATTAGAATGCCAGCTGTTGATAAATCTTGTAATCTTTTCAGAAATTTGAACCAAATTATGGGGCAACCCTAAATCCAATCATTTGATTTCTCTTTTTATCCCCGTTTCTTTGAAGAGCTCTACATAAGTCTATCTTAAGTTTTCAACCCTAAAGCACATCTTATCAACTTCAGCATACAGTCATCATATTAATTATATGAACTTAACAGAAAATACCACTTCTCTTTAGTAAGAATATTGACGAGTAAGAAACCAATCCAAAATCAGAGTTTAAAATGAGAGTGATCTTAATATATTTATACATTAGTACTCTTTTTTAGTATATAATATAAACAGGTTGAGCCGAAACAATAAATACATTTGAACTCACAAATTCATCCCAATAAAATTCACGTCAAGTCAAATCAAGAATCTAGAGTTAATAGGTTCAAATTAGACGTACAATTTTTTTTTTTTTTTTTGAATATATATACATAGGTTGAGACGAGAAGAGGAGCTCTCACCTTAAATCCGCCTCGACAAAACGGTAATTGACCATGAATATTACCTGGAAAAAAAGCCAAAAAGTTCATACCTGTTGCTGAAGAGTAAAGATGTGAGCAACACAACCATAGATAGGGTCTCTAACTCTAGCAAGAGCCTCATAGCAAAGTGTAACGACAGCATCCAGACGTTTATGCGCTGGAATTCTGAGCAGCAATTTAGAGGCATTGCTAGCACCAAACACCTTATGTACAGCAGCAAAATGAGCAGTGCCTTGATCAGAATCAAAATAAGGTGCAAATATGCATCCCCTCACACATTTTCTTCTAAGAAACTTGCATGCACCACAAGGCCCGCCACCTCCTCCACCTACAACATTATTGTTGTTATTGTTATTATACTCACGATCAGCACCACCACAGCCACCGTTCATATTTTCTCTCTCTTTCTCTCCCTCTCTATATATGTGTGTGATCTTTTATTGTTCACTTGCCTAAGAGAGTTTTTGAGCTGCGTGAGGTCTTGGAAAATTGGAAGAAGAAGCAGGAAGAGAGCTAAAGATTTGGAGAGAGATGGGTATTTATTTAAAAAGAGTATAGACTAAGAAAAGAATGTATAAAATGGACACCTAGCTACTGTTTGTTACTACTAGTATTAATTTAATTCTTCTCTTTTTTTAAAATTTAAAATTATTTGTGGAAGCTTTTGGTGGTGGGTCAGTTGATAGACCTTCCAAGAGAGTAAATCTCACCATACATATTTTAGGATAACAAGAGTTTAGTCCCATAAATTGATCAGATTATTTAAATAAAAATTAGATATAATATTTATAAAAATTGAGATTAGTAACCTACAAAGTAGGACATTTTATTTGTTACAACAAATAAGAAACACGGAATTACGCTTTCTCGTCTAACTTAATTTATGTGAGAGTGTTTGATTGGGCAAGAAATTTAGGAGAGAGACTTTTGAAAATTGGGGTATATAGACTCTTTAAACTATTGGAGTAATTAATATATGCTTCTTCTGTCTCAATTTATATGTACTTTTTTTTGTCGTCTCAAAAAGAATAATTTTAAATTTTTTATTTTATCTTATAAGATAATTTATAATCAGACAAATATTTTTATCTTGTTTTAGAATAAATTATAAAACTAGTTCTTTCTTTCATAAACGGTATATCAAGTTAGTATGCATCACATAAAATAAGACGAAGAGAGTGAGACAAATCTTTATAAAAGGTCATAGAAATTTTTTGTGTTCTGTAGGGGTGGAACTAGGGGGTGCATATTGGTGTAAACTTCTAAGCCAAGGCAAAAGAGAGAAGCTAAAAGGAGGAAAACAAGCTGCAGCTTGCGTGAAGCAAACATACATGCGGTGGAGTGGATACTGGACAGTAATAGCTCCCATTTTTTTTCCTGGTTTCTTTCTTTGAGAAAGATTTCTTCAATCAACCACTGTGTGTGTTTACACCCCCACGTGCGAGTCCCATGGGAAATATATCCCATCATTCCATCAATCATACCATTACTCCCTCTTTCACACACTCTTGCCCAACTTCCTTCTCTCTTGTCATTTCCATCCCATCACATCACACACACACTCCAGTCTCCAGACCAGTATTACTACACTGTCTAAAAATAAACAAGGAGACTGCATGTGTGTAATTACTCTTTTGATTTCGTAGACTGTTTTAGTACCTCATATGATACCTTATTTTTATTTTTATTTTTGATAACTGTATGACCCAAAAAATAGATCTTGATTTTATACAATTAGATTTGTTAGAAAATATGGTTAATTACAGCCAACATTAATATTCAATGATAGATCCAGCACTTTAAGGCCCCTATTTACTGTATAATATTAAAGAAGGCGGTCTTGAGATAATAATGGAACAATAATGACTTGAAAATATAAAGGAGAGCAATAAATATAATAAATGACTTTCAAATAATAAATAAGATATGAATAACCCGACAAGGATGAGACCCTGAGACGTGTTTTCTGACAATGGTGGATGATGATAAACAATCGTGTATTCCAATCCTTCTTGGTGTTAGGACCGAAATATTCAGGTGTCATGCAGGAGCTAGTAAAGCAAACCTTGAACGACGATAAATCAGAAAGTAAAAGAGAAATCTACCAAAAGAGACACAAATATTTAACGTGGTTCGGTCAATTGACCTACGTCCACAGCGGAGATGAGCAATCCACTATATTAAAATAGAGTACAAAATATCGAGAGAGCAACCTCACGAAGAGACAAATACAAGTGACACACTAACACTTGTCCTGTAAAGTTCTCCCCCTAAACACTACTCTCAAACCCGATATGGCTACATTGTGGATGCTGATGAATGAGAAGGAAGGATCCTCAATTTATAAAGGTCTAAAACCTTTCCCTACAAGAAAAAGGACTAGCCAATATAGAAGATTTATAATTTCCTTCTACGAGAAGGAAAACCCAATTATGGTAAATATGTTGCCCTTTCCTTCAAGAGATAGGAAAACCAAATATGGTAAAATAATTTGGACAACACCTAACAATTCTCCCCCTTGACCTGGATTTTCTGATAAAATAAACTTGATCCACCTTCTTCACTTAACCTGTAACAGGTCGCATCTCTAAATCTCCACCACGAAGTTTGTCTCAACGTGCGTAGCACTCCGGTCAAATTTCTCAGACAAAAATCATGATTACCGTCAAATAGGTTGCGGCTAGAACTAAACCCGCCAAGATGAACCTATCTTGAACCTTGCTCTGATACCACTTGTTATAACCGCAAAAAATCAGGTGTCATGCAGGAGCTAGTAAAGCAAACCTTGAACGACGATAAATCAGAAAGTAAAAGAGAAATCTACCAAAAGAGACACAAATATTTAACGTGGTTCGGTCAATTGACCTATGTCTACGGCGGAGATGAGCAATCCACTATATTAAAAGAGAGTACAAAATATCAAGAGAGCAACCTCACGAAGAGGCAAACACAAGTGACACACTAACACTTGTCCCGTAAAGTTCTCCCCCTAAACACGACTCTCAAACCCGATATGGCTATATTGTGGATGCTTATGAATGAGAAGGAAGGATCCTCAATTTATAGAGGTCTAAAACCTTTCCCTACAAGAAAAAGGACTAGCCAATATGGAAGATTTATAATTTACTTCTACGAGAAGGAAAATCCAATTATGGTAAATATGTTGCCCTTTCCTTCAAGAGATAGGAAAACCAAATATGGTAAGAAAATTAGGACAACACCTAACACTTGGGTCGGGAGAGAGGAATAAAAGAAGGAAAATATAAAGTTAGGCTTTGTTTCTATTCTATAAAGTGCGAATCTTGTACAGAGAATGTTGATGAAATTCTTTACAAAAGGTCCAATCCCCTTTCTAATCTACATCTCTTCCTATTTATTATAGCATATGGGCCACAAAAACCTAGATAGTACAACAAAAGGGAATATCCATCAAAATATTCTCTAAGGAATTTAAATCCTAAGACTGGTCTTCACTTTGTACTGAGGATAGATGTTCGTCCTCGTCTTCATCCTATTCTTCTGCTAAGCCATTTCGACTTCGACACCACTTTATGTTTCATATTTGACCTCGACCTTTTGGAGTCATATCGACACGTCACTACCAGCAAAGGCTTTATTATCGTTGAATAAGTCAAACACATAAAATAAAGTTTTTACCCATACAGTTAGTCCCTCCGCTTGTCGAGGTCATCCTTAGGGACGGGCTAGATAAGTGGATAATGGTGGACGTGGTCGTTGTCAAATACAGACAACCTGGAATTATGAGAGCCGCATATTTCGAATTCGTGCCGTTTTAATTTTCTCGGGTGACCTTTGGAGAGAAAATGACGTGGCTGAGATGTAACGTCAGGCATCATGATGACGCTTGGTACCGATGTGTCACGTCAGGACACACGTAGCTCGTGGATTTGCTCTGCCGGTTTGACTCCGGCTGCAATCATGATGAATCGCTTCGAATCCCAAGGTCCCCCTTTAAAAAGAGGGGATGATCAACGCTATTTGAATATTTTCTTCATTTTCACTACCTAAGTTTTCTTCACCTTCTCTAAATTTTCTTCCCTTGCCCATCGTCCTCTAAAGTTCTCTTTTATTTTCTCAACTCTTTTCCTTCCCAAACTCCATACCTCTACAAGCATGTCTAGTTTAACTTCTGGTGTTCGTGGTGGAGATGTTCCTAATACCAATGAGGAGATTCCAGCTACCCTATTGGCTGCTACGGCACCCGTCAGCGGGGGAGATGCCACCACCGTCATTGAAGCAGAGCCTCTTCCCTAGGAGATAATTCCTCGTAATCTTGATGCGAAACTGGACCTGCAATGGCAGCCGAAGGTGGTAGAGAAAGCTTTCTGGTCTTCTTTAATGGCCAAGCATTTGGTAGAGTTCGAGGACAAATATGGCATTCCCCACCAAATGGAGCTTGTACCCGCGGGCAATGATGAAGTGTATACTCACCGTTCAGGGTACTGCTCCCTTTATGCCTACCCCTTCACCATAGGCTATTATTTTCCTATTACCTCTTTGGTGGAGGAATTCTTCCGCCATTACTGGGTGTGTCCGGCTCAACTCGCGCCCTTGGTTTACAAAATAATCAAGATGCTATCCAAGTTTGCCGATCTAGCCAATGTCGACATCACTTTGTGGCATATGGTGCATCTGTACATGCCTAGCTTCTATCGGGGTACGATGTTGAATATTTGCCTCCAAGGAAGCAAATCCCTAGTCGTTAAGATAGATGACAAAGGTAGTCGACAATTTTGGTTCGACTTTTTTAATTTCAAGACCGAGTCCATTATGGCCGATGTCGCGGACTTCCTAGAGGCTTGGACCCATGTCTCTAAGTATTTTTACTTGTCTACGTTCTTTCATGTGATCGTACATTCAGACTTTGTGAATTAACTTTTCTCGTTTTGCAGCTACTACCGAAGCCTTCAGTTGGTGACGTACCTTTCTGATTAGGTCAGGCAAGTCCTTCCCTGCACTGCGCGAATCCGATATAGGCCGATATTCTAGCAGAAATACAAATCGGCTCTTCCCCCGAAAGGTAATGTTGGTACATTATTTTTAGATAGCGTGGCATTTGGCTTCGTTGGTATTACTATATTTATCTTTGTATTTGTTTTAGGTTCCACTAAGAAGGTTGTCAAAAGGAACCTGGCACCGATACCTTCCTTTAGGAGAAGGAGGGTCGTTGCCTCCTCTAACCCTGCCCCCGTCTCGACTACTACGTCTGTTCTCCCCCTGCTCCTTCCTAGTTAAGGACGATGAGGTTTCCCCGCACGACGCGGACTTGGGGCCCCGCAAGAGGAGGGTCGTAGATGGGGGAGATGGTGTACCAATGGTGGTTGACTTATCTGAAGTCTCCCTCGGGGTCGAGGTGCAAGATGATGTGACAACCTTGGTCGAAGGATATGTTGGAGCGGTCCTAGAGGTGCCTCGGTTAGAGGAAGCTGATGTTGCGGCTTCATCTCATTCCGAAGGGAAAGGGG